GTTTCTTGTCATATATTTTGATGCAGGCTATTGACCTTCTGTAAAGTGTCTTTATTATGTTGAGATGCATACATTTTACCCCAAATATCTCCAGAAATTTTATCATGAAAGTGATGGATTTTGTCAAAGGCCTTTTGTGCATCTAGTGACATTATCATGTGTATTTTCCATTTTTTATGTTGTATTACATTTATTAAGTTTTGTGTATTTCACTATCCATGCTTCTTTGGAATGAAGCCAACTTAGTGATATTGAGTGTTACTTTTGAGTTGTTCCTTGATTTTTTTGTTTTCAAGTATTTTATATGGTATTTTGCATATCTATTCATGGAGGAAATTGTTTTATAAACTTTTTGCTAAATCTTTATGTTTGAGATATTGTGGTAACTATGGCCTCATAAAATGAATTGGACATTTTCTTCTGTTTCTATTTTGTGAAATAATTTGAAGAGTATAGTTGTTAGCTTTTCTTTATAATTTGGAAGAATTATGGGCTAAAATCATCTGGTCTTGGGCTTCTTTATAGTTGTGCAACCTAGACTGACTGCTTTTGTTCTGCTAGAAATTATAAGTTTGTTTAAATTGCCTGTCTCTTATTTAATAACTTACTAGCGATCTTTGTTTTTGCCATTTTTTAAAAATATAGATTATTTTCTCATATAATATACTCTACTTACATATTTCCATCCCTACACTTATCCCAGTATACTTGCTCTTCCATCCGGACCCACTGTCTTTATGTGTCTCCTTATAAAATAAGAGATTTCTGATAGATAACGACAAAACACAGAAAAGTAAAATATAATAAAATCAAGCAAAGTAATGATATCTAAGTTGGACAAGGCAAATTAACATGAAGATAAGAGATCCCCCAAAGCAGGAACAAGAATGAATCACCAAGTTCTTCACATATTCAGGATTTCCATAAAGGTATAAAAACTGAAAACTGTAGTATCAACACAGAGGACACAGTATAGGCCCTGTGATTACTGCCTCAGTCTCTCTGAGTTAAGAAAAGCTTGATTTGCTCAGTTGCTGTAGTATTCTGGTGTTCTTGTTCATCCTATGTCCTTTCAACTTCTTCTGCATATGCAACCAAGGGTTTCCTAAACTGAGTGAAAGAACTTGATAGAGACATCTCATTTAGAGTTGTGGTCTCCAGAGTCTCTCTGTGTAATATATGTTTATGGGCCTCTGTATTTGTCCTTAACTGTTGCTGAAGAAAGACTTTCTAGTAATGGCTGAATAAAGTGTATATTTATGAATATTTCAGAATATTATTAAGAGTTGTTTTATTATTACTTCAGTTTTTAGAGGTGTAGTATCTGCTTTTACCTTAGGTCTCTGGGGTATATAGTCTCTGGTTATTGATAAACAAAGCAGTGTCAAGTATGGGTTCACCAGTGTAGGGGAATGCCAGGGCAGGGAGGTGGGAGTGGGTTGATGAGTTAGTGAGCACCCTCATAGAAGCAGGGGAAGGGAGGATGGGATAGGGTTTTTCTGGAGGGGAAACAAGAAAGGGGATAACATTTGAAATATAAATAAATAAAATACCTAATAAAAAAGAAAATTCAGACATTAGTTGTGTAGGTTTGTGAGTTGTATGTTTATGTGTTAATATGATATTTTTATTTAATAGCTGAAATTTCATATTCTGATATAATGCATGTTAAGGAAATTCATCTACCACTACCTCATTCCAACCCTTCAACTTCTCCCAGTGCCTTTCATCTTGTCCCTAAACTTCATGCCCTCCTTATTCCACTGCCATTAATAACCCCCTGAGTTCAATTAGAACTTCCCATAGGTACATGATTGCCTACAGTTTAATTGCTTCTTTCCTAGAAATGAGAAGAGGAGCTGCAAGGTATTCCCATGAATGAAATCTCGAGGGGTACTTATGTCTTTCTAGATTTTCTGGTCTTCATGAATTAGCTTTTTAAATAATAACATGCTTTAAATTATGTTTCAGAAGCCTTCATCCATGAATCGAGTGGTATTCATTGTTATCACTTTTTTGAACACAATTTGGGTGAAGATCTTCTGTCAGTCTTCATGCATGGTTAAGAAAAATTACTTGAAGGTAAAATGCTAGATTTTAATTTGTATGATATCTTGAAGATCTTTCTTAATTTTCCTAGGTTACAAGGAATACAATTTGTGAGAAGAACAATTGTCCTAATTTTTTTTTTGTAGGTAAGGTAAATGTGTGCCTTATCCTTGAAAGAGGAAGAATTGATAGACGTTCAGAAGTCAAAGCCTATTACCTCTATTTCCTCTTTTCTATGTTTTAGGGAACATGAAATTATTAGTGCACTCCTTAAGGAAAAACTGTGTAACCAGCATTCCGAGGCTGACTAGATTATGTCACATTCATACTACTGTATTTACTGTCCTCTCCAAAAAACCTGGAGGCTTTATATCTATATAGAATAAACATGTAGTTCATGGAAAAGTAGTTGGGCAGCAATGCCTACTGTGAGTTATGTTAAAGTAGAAAGTGATCATGTAAATGGTTTCTTAAAGCAATAACTCAATATAGTTTATTATATGAAGGTAAAAATTTCTATTTTAGGAAGTTTGGGTATTCTCTGAACACATCGGTTGTTTAAACCAAGAACCAATTATTGTGAATAGTTATGATTTTTTCTATTTTCTGCTTATAGTCCTATTATTTGTGATAAAGCAACATAGAAAAAAGCAAGACAATAAGCTGAATCTATCTAATTTTCAAAAAAAGCTACAATATTCAGCATGTTCTTATAGCCTTTAACAATTTATCTACAATTACAGAATGATCATCATTACATATTTTGTAAATGAGTATAATATGGATACAAGGCTAAAATACTTTGAATACTTTTCAAAGGAAATAACTTTAAAAGATTTGGCAACTTTTTAATTTCTAAGTTTCTTCAATTATATCACAACAAAAATAAGAATAAAAACTATGCATCCATGTATAAATTTCTTGTTAATTGTGAATTATAATTTTTTCTGAAAGTAATATCTAATAATAATTCATAACCTAAAATTTCTAGACCTTCAGGGTACAGGGTAGGGAATAATCCTTTTTAAGGTAAATATTATTTGAAAACCCTCAATACAAACAAAAACATGTTTCATGTTGCAGCCATTCTGAAAGCTGAAGCAGGACAACTTCAGCTTAGAATTTAAGGAAGAGCCTATGTTATGGCTCCTGTATCTAAGAAAACAAAACAAATACAAGTTTGTATGTTGTTAGTGCTTGAGAATCATAACATATCAAACATTTAACCATGGGTAATAGATCTGTGAGAAAGATACTGCTCCATAAATGTCCAAATTTATTTTGTTCGTGATGATATTGCTGTGATGCGAAACTATGAAAGAAAGAATAATTTAATGGAAGTAGGCTCTAGCCATATGTATATGTGTATGTGTATGTGTATGTGTATGTGTATATGTATATATGGCTTTTATGTGAAGAGTTGAATAAGACTGAGTCATAGGGAATTGTAGGAACAACAACGACTATGTTTATAGAAAACAGGAGCATGTTGGACAGCATAATCTCTCACTGGAAGATAGTAAGGCAAATGAGGAGGGGAGAGAGAGTAGCTGAAGCACTGATTCCACTAAATCAAATCAGTACAGAAAACAGACCCCTTTCTATTCCAAACATAACATCAATGGTAACACTTAATGGATGTTTTACAATAACATTTATTGTCTTTTATGAAATCTTGAATTCTCACAATGATATCATAAAATGTATTGATCCTATTGTTTACCTTTCTGTGGTCAGGGAAGTTAGCTTATGATCAGAGAATCCTAAGTAGTGAATGGACAAAAGATCTGTATGTTCTATAGATTATGATTATTTGCCTGCATCTTTCATAACTGCATAAGACTGAAGTTGCTGACATCACTGAGTTTGCCCACTATATCTACTGCACATAGATATTAATCTTATTCATTTTAGTGTTAAATTCAGAAGGAAGATTGGGGATAAATTAGAGTTTAAGAAAAACACAAAAAACACAGTCAACCTATAATTCTAGCAGCTGTTTATAGGAGGGAGATGGAGAAAAGAGAGGTAGAAAGTCATAGTTTTTGAATTATGTCTAAAACATCTGCTACATTCATCAACAGTGACCCTTAGAGCAGGTAGTTGGAGGAAGAAATGGAGGGATTCAGAGTAAGAATGAGAAATCCCAAGGTTTCTGATAATGTATGCTTAGCCCATAATCAACATATACCAACATATGACAACATCAACTGATACCAATAAAGAGAGAATACTTATTTTAGATGTTACCCTTTTACTAGCCTTTGTTTCCTAATACAATAGATTGAACAAAGAACATATCCTTAGAAATAAAAACTGAACTCTGGAATTCAAGTAATCTCGAGTTCTTTCCAAGGCATACAAATAAATATATTTTATCTTATTTTAAATTAATTAAAATTCAGTTTGAATTCTCATACTTGGGGAACAAAATGGGTTAAATAAAGTCAAGGACCTAAAGCAATGGCTGGTATTTTATACCTGAAAATATAAATAAGTAACTCAAACTCTTGTCCTAGATAATCAAAGTGAAAATAATCACCAAATTCTAATACATGTGAATATAAAGAATGGAATCTAAGGTTTCTGTCTATAGCAGTCTTTGAAAAGTAAGCAACAGGAAAACTGAGCTTTACTGAGTTGAGAAGTTAATGTGGATATCATCTACACATCATTATTTTCTAGTTATTAAATAATCTCAATTTCTGCACAAGTACAACAAAAATTTAAATTTGGATAGGTAATCTATTAATAGTCTTTACATTCTGGCCTACGTACCCCTCTACATAACTACTACATCAAATTTGGGGAAAAGTACATTTTCTAGGCAATTGCAAAGTACAGATTATTTCTATACCAAGTCATACGGCTTTGGTTTTTCATTTTAATTCAGCTTCATTACAATTATCTTTCTATTTTCCAGTGGCTATGGACAATGCGATTATTGAGAGATGATTCTGATGGAGAATAATACAGAAGTGACACACTTTCTCCTGCTGGGACTCACTGATGACCCAGGATTGCAGTTTCCCCTCTTTATCACATTTCTCCTCATCTACATCATCACCCTGGTGGGAAATCTGGGGATGATACTGCTGATTGTACTGGACTCTCATCTCCACACACCCATGTACTTTTTTCTAGGTAATCTCTCCTGGGTTGATTTTTGTTACTCTTCAGCTGTCACACCCACAGTCATGACTGGGCTATTAATAGGAAACAAGGTCATTTCCTATAATGACTGTGCTGCTCAGATGTTCTTTTTTGTAGCCTTTGCTACTGTGGAAAATTACCTGTTGGCTTCAATGGCCTATGATCGCTATGCAGCAGTGTGCAAGCCCTTGCACTATGCCACCACTATGACTACAAGAGTGTGTGCCTGTCTTTCTGTAGGTTCCTATGCCTGTGGTTTCCTGAATGCCTCCATCCACATTGCGGACACTTTCAGTCTTTCCTTCTGTAGGTTATATGTAGTCCATCACTTCTTCTGTGATATTCCAGCAGTCATGATTCTCTCTTGCTCTGATAGGCATGTTAGTGAGCTGGTCCTTGTTTATGTAGTGAGCTTCAATATCTTTTTTGCTCTCTTAGTTATCTGGGTATCCTACATATTCATTTTTATTACAATCTTTAAAATGAAATCAAGTTCTGGATATCGAAAGGCTGTATCCACTTGTGCCTCACACTTCACTGCAGTGTCAATTTTCTATGGGACAATCATATTCATGTATTTGCAGCCCAGCTCCAGTCACTCCATGGACACTGACAAAATTGCCTCTGTGTTCTACACCATGATCATCCCTATGCTGAACCCTCTGGTCTACAGCATGCGAAACAAAGAAGTCAAGAATGCATTCACAAAAATTTTGCAGGTGGTAAAATAGCTTGTGATGATTTACTTGTAATGTTACAAGATAAATAATGCTAACCATTTTTCTTCCACATGTAATTAAATTAATAATGGATATTCATATTTCTGCAAGTTTATGTTATTGCTGTATAGCTAAAAGAAAAATAGTGAATTTAGGAGGATAATTATTAGTTGCTTTTTTCCCCTTTCCTTCTTGATAGTAATCCTATGATGAGTATTTATGTACTCTTTTAATTAGTAACTCCTTACATATAATCTTACTATTATTAAAATGTAGATAATATTTAAAAAATCAATGATTACTACTTCCTATGTTTTTGATGCTAGCTGACTGCTGCAGAACAATCTTTATATACATTTTGCTATACTAACACATTTTGAACCTTTTCTGATGTTTCAGTCACATTATTTGATGCTTGCACTGACTGGTCTGTGAATAATTCAGAGCTTTCTTCTTTTATCACATAATCAGCAAAAGTGATTACTGTTATATTAAGAGTTCCCTGTGCAGGCCATAGTATAGTGCTAAAATTACATGTGTATATTATAGAAGAGATTCAGTGGGATGTAAGTAAAAATATATCTTAGGTTCCTGAAATAATTTACAATTATATTTTCGTGTGAATCCTCACACAGCCTTAAATCAGAATTCAAATAATTGAACAAATAAAAATAGAACAACATTTAGCTATGAAATAAAACTTAATTTGAATGACATTTCTGTGATGGTTAATAATGCTATCAATTGAACAGTATCTAGAGTCACCTAAGGGCCTAGGCTTTGGAATGAATATCATGAATTCTCTGTTAGGTTAGTTTCTGTCCATCTGTAAAGTATTATCTTTGCTGACTCCCTCTAAGAGTTTGCAGCACTAGTCATTTTCTGGACTAGAGTACTAGACACAGTAAAATTGACAAATCTAGCACCAGTATTCATCTCCCTCTACTTCTTGTCTTTGGGAATTGGCTCTCCCCTTCTCCTGTTTGAACCCTGAGATTTTACCGAGATCACTAGGGTTGGAAGCAAGTACCTTTACCAACTGATGGAGAATGTAATGTTACCAGGTATCTCCATTTTCTACTATCATGACTTTCTTTCCATGACTGTGCACACTAAATCTGTGAGCCAAATAAACATGCACTCCCTTAGTACGATTTGTCAGCACATTTATCACAGCAACAGGAAGGTAACTAACAAGCATTGTGATATGTAATAGTGGTTAAATGGTCTATGTATGTACTTGGAAAAATTGAGCCTAGTTCTTAGAAGTATACTGCAGAGACTGAATGATTCCAGAATATGGAACATAGCCTAACACATAATAGCTGCTCAATATTCACAAATAATCCCACATCTTTATTCCTGTGCTTCTGTAAATTAATGATATTTTTGTCAACATTTCCCATTTAATTACTAAAAACAGTTATTAAATTATATTGGCTTTGCTTTGCAGATTTAACCTTGCTAGTGAACCATGAACAATTTCAGATTAAATATCTTTCATTAGGAATTTATTCTCAGAGTACAGTATATGCAATACACAAATCTTTCTGTTACCTAAGAAATAATGACTGAGTTAGATAGGACACTTAAAGAGATTTTTATAAAACATATTAAATTGTTACATTTTTATTTTTATCACTTGTTTCTTAATAATATTCTTCAAAATATTTAATTTTCTATTTCTCTCTCTCCCTCTCCCTCTCCCCCTCCCACCTCCCCCTCTCCCCTCTCTCTTTCTCTCTGTATGTGTGTGTGTATGCCAACAAGGAAGTCATTCCAATGATTCTATCAATATATTTTTAAGACAGCATCTTTGACCAATTAGCCTCAGAAAGTTAGCTGTATCTATTTTCAAGGCTTATTTGTAGAATATTTTTTGAGAGTGTTACATAACTAAATTATTTACCTCTTTCATAATTTTCCTCTAACACCCCCCCCAATTGCATATACCTATTCTTGCTCTCTTTTAAAGTATGGCCTCTTTCTTCATCAGGTATTATACTCCACAACTCTGAATCATTATTGGTTGTGATTTTCATGTTCTCTATTTCAATGAGAAATTTCCATGATGTGGGGGTGGAGTGGGAATAGATTCATAAGTGAGTAGAAAGGCACATGTGTTTGGAAAATGAAACTCAGGTTATCCTAGCTTCAAGGCAAAATTTTAAAGACTGGATCCTTTCTCTAGCCTTCATATACTTTAACACTTAATAGAAACATAAAGAGACACTAAAACATATTATGTCATACTATCACTACATAATCATCTGAAAACTAAGTGTTTAGGATACACAGACTTTTTATTTTCTTGCCATTTTATTAGATAATCACAAGCTTGTAAAATGAAAATTAAACCATTTTTCACAAATCTAAAGGACACATTTTCAAACAGGTTCATTGTCAAGATACCAATATCTAGATGCTCTCTGAGAAGTCAATCCTGTGGTTGTCCATTTTCTTTTGCTTGCCTGCATTCATTGGCTTTGTTTATAATAGCTTATCTGACTTTTTTGCAACAATTCATTTTCTCAACTTTTTTCTCTCTAATATTACTGTGACTGTCTTTTTTACCTGACAAGAAATATAATAAAAATACAACAAAAATTACTGCTTTAAATATGTGGTTATGTCCCCCACATGGTAGCAAATCTAGGTATATGATGGAACTACAATTCAGGCTATAAAATTCAGCAACATAGACAGCACTTCCAGCCAAAATGAAAACAAAGATGTAATCTTTCAAAATCCATAGTTCTGGGAAAACTATAAATGCACTAACATAGCTTTTTGGCTTCTGTAGTTCGACTTCTGGCCACCTGTTATTAACTGAAGTATGACAACCCAAGTTATGTTTGGTTTTTGTTTTTTTGTTTTGTTTTATTTTGTTTTGTATTTTTTACCTAAATGTTCCCCCTGGGAAGGGCTTAGAGCTACACTGAGATACTGTACATGCACTGTAGACTCCAGATGGAAAATAAAGACTTTCTATTGTCTTAAATACATATGCAAACAATCTTCACTGGTAGATACTTCACAACACTCATAGTATGGCATGACCATGCCATCTGATTTCAAGTTTCTTTGTTAATATTTTCTCTCTCTCTCTTTTTTTTTTTGGCCCCAGATTTTATTCCCCCCTCGGTCCACTCTCTGACTGTTCCACATACTGTACCACCCCCTAACCCTTGTCTCCATGAGGATGTCCCCACCACCCACCCCCACCAAACCTCTAATCTCCCAGGGTCTTCAGTCTTTTGAGAGTTAAGTGCATCTTCTCTGACTGAACCCAGACCCGGCAATCCTCTATGGGTATATGTGTTGGGGGCCTCGTATCAGCTGGTGTATGCTGCCTGGTTGATGATCCAGTGTTTGAGACATCTTGGGGGTCCAATTTATTTGAGACTGCTGGTTCTCCTACAGGGTTACCCTCCTCCTCGGTTTCTTCCAACATTTCCCTAATTTATCCACAAGGGTCAACAGCTTATGTCCAATGGCTGGGTGCAAATATCTGCATCTGACTCTTTCAGCTGCTTGTTGGGTCTTTCGAAGGGTAGTCATGACAGATCCCATTTTGTAAGAGCTCCATATAGCCTCAGTAATATCATTTTTTTAATGCATGGGAATTCTCTTCCAATTACTACTTAGTAATAATTATTCAATCTCTTAGCCTTCTTGTGTTCTCTCTTTTTTAATTTCTGGAGTTTAGTGTAAACATAATATACTTTTAGATTTCTCATCTTGTCAGTTCATATTCTAATATAATTCTATATCACTTTCCTAAAATTAGCATTATCCATATTTGGATAATCTTTTTCACATCAATCAGTAACCAAGAAAAAGAAGACAGGCTCATCTATGCAGCAGTGTTATGGAGGCATTTCTCTCACTTGAGGTTCCTATGACTCTAGCTTGTGTTAAGTTGATAAAACACTAGCCAGCATACATGACATTTACTACCCTCACATGTATTGTATCATGTTTGGGTATTTTATTTTTATAATGAATAATGTTTCATTGTACAGACATCCAGTAATCATGCTTTTAAGATTTATTTTTATGTGTGTTTTTGCCTATATGTATATTTGTGTAACATATGCATGTCTGTTGCCCACAGAAGTCAGAAGAGTGCATCAGATACTTTGAAACGGGAACTGTAGCCAGTTATGAAGCACCATGCTGATGCTGAGAACTAAACCAAGATCCTCTTCAAGAACAAAAAGAACACTTAAATGCTGTTCTTTCAAGTGCTTTATTTATTTATTTATTTATTTATTTATTTATTTATTTATTTTTTCTCCCATGTAATATATCCTGTCCACAATTTCCCTCCCCTATTTTATACCTTCCAGTTTTCTCCACATCCACTTTCTCTCAGATCTACCTTTCTCCTGCCTTCCTGTAGAAAAAAGCAGGTTTCTGAGAGATATCAAGAGAACATGGCATAAAAATAGCCAACAAGACCTGGGGGGAAAACCCTCAGCTCAAGACATGTCAAGTACAAAAGTGACTTCTAATTGAAGGTCAGACAAAGTGATGAATCAAAGAAAGATTTGGTAGAATGGGTCAGATATAGAATATGCCCAGTTCTCATGAGAAGAAAGAGGAAAGAGAAGTAACTTAGCATAGAGTGAGTCTGTAATGGAGAGCCGTCCAATGAATGCAGTTCAGTTGAGTTCAGACAATGCAGTAGAGTATAGGTCAGTGAAACTCATGCAATGCAGTTGTGTTCATTTAAGTTTGGTCATGGATTCCCTTCAGTAGTATAGGTCAGCAGAGGCATCTGAAACCAGAGAATGAGAAGGAACCAGAAGACTAGAAAACATTGCCAGAGTTAGTTGTTAGTTGGTAGCCAAGGAGAACAACTCAATGAGAAACTAAGAGAATCCAGACTGAATCAGCCAGATTGCAAGATTATGTTGTATAGAGGCTAAATTCCAGACCACATTGGACACATAGATAGACTGGAGGCATTTAGAAAACCTAGCAATCTATACCTGCCCCCCCCACAC